TCTGTGCCCTTGGAGCCTCAAAGCACTTATAAACTGCCTGCCCGACAGGACGCACGGCAGTTGGGCACCGGCCTCTTCTTGACCGCCCTGGCCTCAGCGTAAACTCTACCTGGCCTGTACTATGGTTTCCTGGTAAAGATCCTTCAAAAGGTATGGGGGCTAAGGTAAACCCTAAATCCGAAAACCCTAAACCTGTATGCATGTTTGGCGGGGGCGGTCGACTGTCTTTGTAGATTTCAGGATTGAGGAGTTGGCAATTCGAGAGAGTCGGGGTCTAGGGGCCTAGAAGCGAAGACCGGTCTACAAAGCAGAGAAAGGTTATCAGACTCAGGGGGCACGGCGCGGCCATCTTACGTGAGATTATACAATCTTACCATGCATTCTGTTGTGTTACATTGCAAGCCTTTGTATTATTTTGTTGAAGCCTATTCTGTTCCACTTTATTCTACGAGATACCATAATTTAACAGTGCATGAGATGGCATTCTATTACATTCTTGTTTGCAGAAGGGGAGGACCGACAAAGAGCCATGGATCGGTCTCTGGTTTTGGTTTCAAGATGCCTGCAAAAAGCTTCAACCTAAAGCCTTAAGCCTGAACCCTACTTGGAGGTGCATGGGTAATTATAGGTGGGTTATAAGTCCCCTAATATGGGTTGTTACAATAGTTATCTAACTTGTAACCCCACTTGTAACTACCCATGAACCTCCAAGTACCTAGAGTAGCCATTGTGCCCTTAAAAAGCCGGATATGATCCTAGAAACTTGTACATGTTACCACTCATGTTATCTTTCGGTTTAAGGTACCTTGGCCACTCTAGGTAAATCCTAAACCATACTTATTATTAGGGTATTTAGGGTAACTCTACTTATAACCCCAGTTAGGGTACTTATAACCTTGCTTACTAAGTCCCATGATCCTCCAAGTAAACCCCGCCGAGGAGAGTTGCTGCGAGGTATTTTTCCAGAAAGTCGCTCCTGTCGCAGAGTCCCTGGGCATGCTTCTCAGCTCGCAGTAGTCTCGGATCTTAACAATGAAGCCTAAACAGTTGCCAACATTATTCCCCAGGGCTCCTCATCAAGATTATACTATCATATGCCAAAAAAAACCCGTTCTACCTGTTTTAGGCTCCCCGTTTCAGGCTTTAGTGTTCGGTTTCCGGGGGTCTGGGGTGTGGGCATACCTATAGTCTCCATTGTAGCTCCTTTCTTTGGTTTAACCAATTTTATATTAAGGATCCTAAAAGGTAACCCCCAAAAGGAACTACAATGGAGACTATAGGTAGGAACCGGAGTTGTCGTCCTGACTTCGGGCTCCCAGGCTGAGAGCTGCGCCATCCTTTTTATCGGGGCGCTGTTTCTCCTCCTAAAGGGAACTCCAGAAAGTTGGAATATGGATTAATGGTAGGATCCCCTATAATTTACCTTAAAGGGGTTGCGATAATCATATTCCAACTTTCTGGCTTCTACTGTATTCGTTCTTGTTGCCGTTTCGGCATGACTCTCAGTGTTGAGTATGTTGTGACTGTGGGCGTGAGATTTATGTGTTCGGGTTTTGTTGTTTAGGTGCGCCCGCGGCTCCGATGTCTATAACATTAGCCTCAAAGCCTGGGTTTTTCTCCGTGGCAGTGTTTTCAGTTCCACGCGTTTTGCATCTTTACATTGCACCTCCAAAGCATGATGTTTTCGTGGGAAACGGCAACAGGCCTCAACTCCTTCGGATCGGATTTTGCTGGTTAGGCTTCAGGTGCCTAGCGGCAGGCACTTCCCCCGCCTTCCAAAAACAGCACGAAATCTACGGCTGGTCTGTTGCAAAGGAGCTGGATTCATTGGGAGTGGAAGCAGTTCTTCCGAGAGACGAATGTGGCTTCGATGGCAGCTAAAAGCCTGAGGATGGGTTTGAGTTTACGACTCAGTTTCTGCGCATTGAGGCTTTAGGGGTTTATAGTGGTTGAGGCAGCCATACATATGTACATGCATACGTACATACATACAGCGAGAGAGAGAGAGAGAGAGAGAGAGAGAGAGAGAGAGAGAGAGAGAGAGAGAGAGAGAGAGAGAAGAGGGAGAAGAGGGAGAAGAGGGAGAAGAGGGAGAAGAGGGAGAAGAGGGAGAAGAGGGAGAAGAGGGAGAAGAGGGAGAAGAGGGAGAAGAGGGAGAAGAGAGAGAAGAGGGAGAAGAGGGAGAAGAGAGAGAAGAGAGAGAAGAGAGAGAAGAGAAAGGAGAGAAAGGAGATAAAGGAGAGAGAGGAGACAGACAGGAGAGAGAGGAGACAGACAGAGGAGAGAGAGGAGACAGACAGAGGAGAGAGAGAGAGAGAGAGGGGGCGAGAGAAACGTAGGTGTAGATAGAATATACTGCTATACGTGTATAAGCTCTGTGCAAAAAAGCAGCTTGCAGCCCAGCTGTACAACAGATGTCGTTATCTGTTATCTGTCTGCGGAGCATTGTGATTTTTCTGGCACCCTCGGCTGGGACCCTTAATCGTCCTGGTATCCGAGATACTGCAGGTTTAAGCTCTACAATAAAACATCGTTAGTGAGGGCTGTGGCATAAATTGAGGCACAACTGAAGTTTCGGGGTCATCGGGTTTGGGGGTTCTCGGTGCCGGGGTTACGGGGGTTTAGGGTCGCTTGTTTGGGGACGTTGCAGTGAAAGATACATGTATCTTCACAAGGAGGAACTTGAGTTGTTTGTAAAGGTCTTCCAGAAAAGACAACTGGCACCAGGTCATGCTGGTGTTGGCTTGCCATCTCGGGATCGAGACTGCATGAAATGCTCTTGTCTCTGCCTCTCACTCTCTCTATATATCTCTCTCTCTCTCTCTCTCACTCTCTCTCTATCTCTATCTCTCTGTTTCTCATGTTTGCTCTTTGGCTGTCCCGCTCGCTCCTGACCAAAAAGTTCACACCTCCGGTTTATTATAGCCATCAATCATCAACCTCTTATGCCTTAACCTAAACCGTCAGTTGGGGCTCGAACAGGTTTTCTGTGCACGCGATACTTCTGTTTCCTGACCTTAAACTAAAGGACCCCCCAAAAGTGATATGAAGTGTAGAGGCCACCCGGAAATCCGAAGACCAGAATGCTGCTTTCGGTGCGGACAAGACGGGCTGCGGAGGCCTTGATGCATCATGAGTTGTTTTGGCATTAGCATGCAGGTACTAGTTTGTGCTCACGCGGCTGTGTCGAAGGTTTCAGGGTTCGGGCAAAAGGTTTGGGGTTGTTGCGCCCCATTTTGGAAATTGTGGGTCCAAGTGTTGTTTGAGCTTCGTGCAAGTTCGTTTTTCGGCACGCACTTGTCTCAGTCTTGACCTACCCCCAGCCAGGGAGCAAGCTACGATCTCGGAAGGCTTCAGTGTTTAACTTTCAGCACGTGCAATGCAGTTCCTGGTGTTGGTTTCGACTATAGGATTCTAGCCATAGAAGGGGTGAACCAACGCAAGGGACTACATTGGAGACTATAGGCACGGGCCTGATCTCCAAAACGTTAAGTGCGAGGCTCCAAAGAAGTCAGCTGCACACGCCCACGACTTCCAAGGTCATTTACAACCCCACCGGCCTTCGTCACGGGTGGGTGGGGGGGTGGGGGGGAGGAGGATTATGTGGGTGGATGGGTGGGTGGGCGTAGGTAGGTAGGCACGCAGATAGGATGACACTTTAGATTTACCTTTGGTTAGTAGGGAATGGAGGCATGGTAGTAGTAATAGTAGTAGTTATACTTGTACTCCATTCCCTTATAGATCTCTTATAGATCCCTTGTAGAACCCTTACAGATCCCTGATAGATACTACCATTCCTCCATTCCCTACTAACCAAAGGTAAGTACCTGGACATGCGTCGCAAAACTGCCAGGCTGGCCTTACAACCATGGCGTGTCTCGGATGGAAGGGTAGAGAAGATGGTTGGCAAAGATAGAAACATCTAATTTTCATTATAGGTATAGACAGACAGACAGATAGGTACATAGATAGAGATATAGAAGCCTGAATGGCTAGTAGTTCTGTTCCCGAAGTTGCTATATTTTAGCAACAGTGTAGTATACCACCTCAAGCATTGTTGACTTGCAACCGGAACACTTGCGGCCGCACTGCTCCGTCGTGTCCTAATGAAGCTAAAGTTGAAGCTCTTCTCCGATCTGAGAAATGCATCATGCTGCTACATGGAGGCAGTGCATTCTGCTTGGGTCTCGACTTGAAGAGCTGTTGTGCATCTGTCCAGCGCCACACCATGCAGCTGCCGTTTCCCAACTTCACTTTTTCGACAAGCTGCCGACTCTTTGGCTTGATGTGTTTTCCCAATAATCGGATATCGCAGATATCGGGTCAAAGTGAGAACGACACTTACTCAAGAGTAGCACTTTCCCGGACAAGCAAAAGTTGCAGCAAGAGTAACCAGGAGATCTTCCCAGTCCCTAATATGGGGGCCTTAATAATTAGAATTGGGTTTTGGGGCCCAATATACTGTAATCATAATAAGGAGCCCCGCAAGAAAATTTGTAATTATTCAGGCCTCTATATTTGGTTCGGACGCCTTGTGCTATCGGCCGAAGCTGAAGTGCAGATATTCCAGCATTTTTGGTTCGGAAAGATTTAGAAGCTGCAGGTGCATGAATACAACACCGCTGCAAGGCCTATCGCTATTCATGAGGTCATAGCTTGCTTTCGTTGTTTGCCGTTTGTGTCATTATGTTCGCTATATGGTTGTTAGTATCTGACCAAGTCCCGCAAGCTGCAGTCACAGGGTTTTAGCCTGAGAGCCTTAGGGCTTGCTGGTTTTAATCTAAAGTCTTGAGGGTTGGGTACGGCCCCCACTCAGTAAGAGTTGAATAATTGTCATAACATAGATACATTAGGACCGCAAGAGTAGCCCTTAAATGTACTCTTACTGTAAGGGGGGGGGCAGGGCCTAAATTGAGGGATGCCTGTAGGTTTTAGTTTGCCCCTTCAAGCCGGGTCAGCCCGAGGTCCTGAACATGACGATGCTTCGGTTTTTGGCCCGCCCCTATGCGCAGGCTGGGTTTACGGATTACCTGAACCCCAAAAGTATGTAGAATAATGGCCTTTTATGGGTTTGGGGCTATTATTTTACCTACTTTTGGGGATTTACGGATTAGGGTATAGGCTATTGGGCGGGGGGGTCTTGGGTGTTGTAGGGTCTCGTGTTTCGGTTCGAGTCTGTAAGGTGCCCGTTTGCTCATATAGCTTTGACAAATGGGGACTCTGGCTTCAGCCTGGTGGATGCTTCGGCGCTTTTCGGCAGTCCACGCGGCCTTGAACTCGAAAGCCCTAAGGTATAGGCTTACTGGCAGTCTTGTTGATCACAGCACCATGGTGGTTACTAAAAGGGCGACGATAAGCATTTCTTTCTAAGCCGCGTACCTTCCAAATCAAAACCTCATGCACACAGCTAAGCTCTCCAGCACGAGTGTCCCGACCAAGAGCTACATGAGGTCCTCCCCAAAGATTGAGGCTCACCTGCGGGCCGGGTTTTTCACAGCCTCGACCCTAAAACCCAAAGGCCAAAAACCCTAAAGCTCAACCAACAAGACGTCGGGTGAGCCTTGCAGGCCCCTGAAGCTCTAACCGGGTTCTGGGTTTAGGGTTTAGGGCCAGGTTTTTGGGCTTAGGGACGGTAAACCCTAAATCCGAAATCTTTGAGGTTAGGGAAGGGAGGAAGTCGGATAAAACTCCGATGATTTCTACCGAAACTACTAGCAAACCCACGTCTTCGAAATCCAGTGAGCCCCCGAAACCCAGATACCTGAATCCAGGCTATTGCCGGAAACTTCACCAGTAGCTCTTTCGACCCGTCCTCCAGGGATTTCCGCCACTTGGCATTCGCCTTTAGAGCTCTACGTAGGCGATCTTCGGTTCTGTTACCCCAAGGGTCCAAGTACCTAATAATCATATAATCTCCACAATCCTAACCTACATAACTACAATCCTAAAGCCGAGTACCTAATTATTGGGTTCTTTGGACCCTTGGGGTTAGACTTCCCCAAAGTATGTAGACTCATGGCCTTTTATAGACTTTGGGCCATGATTTTACCTACTTTTGAGGGTCCAGGTAGGGATCAGCGATCTTCGGTTTTGTTAGACTTGGGGACCAAGACCCTGAAGAACCTTCCGTTTTAGGGTTCCCTAATATGATTTCCTTTCTTTGTCATAGTTGGGTAACATTTTACATGTTTATGGGTACTTAAACCCAATAAGGAATAAAAATGAACATTTTTAATCCTATCCCAACAATGAACTAGCTTATCTATGTCCTTAAAAAGGTAGGTTCTTCAGGGTTAAGGCAAAGCTTATTGGATGCAGAGTAGCCTTGCTCGGGCCTCCTTTTATTGGGTCGGGATCCTACAACTTAGGGATGCGGGAGGCCCTAGATGGTTCGGAAATAGGGTCTGTGGTTTTGTCTAAGGCCTTCAACGTAGTCTCTTCTTTTGACAGGTTTGTTTTTGACAATAGGATCCGGCCCAAAAGGTTGACAAACCAAAAAAGAACTACATGAGAGACTACAGCTAGGCTTTTGAGACTGCTTTTACTGCTTATAGGGTTGATCTCGCGCCTAAGGTTCACAGGCTTGGGGTGAGCAGGGACCGTTTTATCAATATACTGATTTGATGGTAATATTACAGTTTATGTGTTAGGGAGATATAGTCAGCTACTACCGGCATTGTCGAGCTCGCTGATTATTATGTGGCCCTTTTTTGGGCACCCTAAATAGTAGGTGCCGTATCAAAACAAGGACCCAAAAAGGGACCCTAATTTAGACAACCACCCATGTCGTTCTTCGGGGTTTCGAAGGGGAAAAGGAGGGACCCTTAATGGGGACCCCTACCCTATAATGGGCTATATAATGGGTATATGATAGCTATACTAAGGGTATATACCTAGGGGTCCTTATTAAGGGTCCCTTCTGTTCCCCTTTGAGGGTTTAGGGTTTTGCCGTCGGATCCGAGTTCATTGTCCTGCAACGAAGCACGGGGCAATACTGCTGATGGACAAAATCCTCCATGACCCTAAGGACCCCAAACTATGGGAACTATGGTGTATTCCTTATAATGGGTAATGCAGGGTTTTGTCCACCAGCAGTATGGAAGATGCTGACAGGGTTTAAGGCAGAGGGTTTCGGGTTTAGGGTGAAGGGTTGTGGCTAATCTTATTTAAGCCTGCACTTACAGCATATGCTGTGCAGCGACTGCTACGATCTCAGACGTTCTGTCCATGAAAGTTCCATTGCTCCTGCAGCCATACCCAGGGTGTGCACAGAATAGCAATCCATGTGCGACATACTCATATATTTGAGACGCGCCACATACAGCATACAGATGCAGAAACAAAAACAACGCGCTAAACCCCAACAATCTCACACCCCGCACCCGAAAGCCCTAAACCCAAGCTCTGGAAACTCTAAATGCTAACCTTAAGCCCAAAAGGCCCCCCAACAGCATTATGAAGCCTAGCCCCTTCTACTTAGTTAGGGGTACTTAGAAATATTCTTTTATTTTTTGGTTATTATAAGCATTAAGAAACAGCTAAAATTGCAATTGTTGCTAGGGTTCTAAGTTCAGTATAGTCTATACCAGGCCTCATCTTCAAGGCGGATCCCAAAATCCGGGCGCCGACAGTGATTTCTGTGCCAGAGCTGACCTACCCAGCCGGGGTGGAGGTGCTTGTGAGTGGGGCTCCTAGGATTCTGCTTGTGTTTGGGCTTTTAGGGATGATGGTAATTATAGGGGTCAGGGTTTGGGGTTTAGGGTCTGCTGTTCAGGGTTTAGGGCTTGGCTTAGGGGTGCTGTGTGATCCTTGCTGCAAAGGAACATCAACTTTGACACGTAAACCCCGTGGAATTTCCACCCCAAAGCCTCGTGGAGTCCCGCCGTACTTGCAGGTTCAGGATAGTTTTCGCTGCAATGGTTTAGGATTAGGTTGATCACCTGGATTTGGCTCGACGGGCGTGGATGAGTCTCCCATGTTTTAGGCGTTTTAGGCTATTAGGGCGTTTATGATGCTGTAGAGAGCGTCCGGTTGTTCCACGTTCTAGTGGCTTATCGAGTTTAGACTTCAAATCGCAACTTCGAGTTTCAATCCTAAACCCTAAACCCTAAACCCCTAAACCCTAAACCCTGATTTCGGCTCCCGAGGCCCCAATTAACCCCAACAAGCTTCGCAAGCCCTTGACGCCCCAAAACCCCAAGTCCTTCCTGCCTCTCCTAGAGCCCTTTTAAGGAAACCTCTTTAAAGGCCACCCTAGTCTACTCCGAGCATCATTTAGGCGCCTATACAAGCCCCTTCAGGGTTCCCCTTCAGTTGATGAGGGTTCCTCTAAGGTGAGCGCTTTCTACTCCTAGAATAAGGCACCTATACCACTAAACCTTAAACCCTAAACTTAAGCTACTGATGATACAAATCCTGCATTACCTTAATGACCCTAGACTATGGGAATTATGGTATATTCCTTATTATGGGTAATGCAGGATTTACATCATCAACAGTATCTCTGAGGTCCGGCAGGAGCTTGTCAGTTCAAGTTGGCGCAGAGCTTTGCATCTCGGCGGCATCGAGCCTTCGATTTTGGGTTTGCGGGCTTAGGGGTCTAGAGCGGTTTACGGGGTTTAGAGGTGTAGGGCTTTAGGGTGTTGGGTTCAGGGTTTATAGGGTTTGGGCCAAGGAATATCGGGCGAGTCAGGTCTGCCTTTGAAGTCGTTCAGGGTTTTGGGTTGTTCTCAGGGTTTAGCATGAAGTGCTCCCACGCGATGGGCTGCTTGGCCTTTTCCTTAACTCTCGGTGTCGCCTCTGTGTTTCCGCAGCTGAGAAGGGCCTATGTGATACTGTTTGGGTGGATCCTTATTATATTAATAGTATATAATTTTCCCCCAAACCCAATTCTCATTATTAAGGCCCAGTACACTGTATTTTTATAAAGTAGTGTCGGTAATTATTAAGGCCCCTATAGTTGGGCTTCAGGAATCGGGTTTTCACCATCTTCAGTCCTCATCTCGTAGTGCTGCCTCGAAGTGGGGTTTAGGGTCTATAGGATTTAGTGTTTAGGGTTTTGGGTTTAGGATTTAGGGATTCGGATTTGGGGGAACACTTCCGAAGGTCCAGCTGACCAACAACGCTTCACTCGCGCATGGAGAGGAGCTGACCATCCAGGCCGATATGTGCCTGAGGTTTCAAGTGATGGGTTTTCAAGCTTCAGAGTTTCAGAATATGATATGTACTCAGGCTCTGCATGCTGTCACTTGCATCTGCCGGTTGCCTCATTAACAGAAAGACCTGAGAGTTTCTTTCACAAGCCGACGAATTTTCGGGAGTGTGCTTCTTTCAGCTCTAGCAATGTAGCGTAGCTCTCCGACCCTTGCGCCGTGTCCTAGACTCCCACGCGCCGTGGGGATTATTTTGCTCCAGAAGCCAAGGTTTGAATATAAGCCCGGCTGAAACTGGAATTTAAGCACGAGCCGACAGCACTCACACATCATAGCCTCATTTGGTCAGGAGTTCCTGTACCAAGAGAGCCCAAAACCCCTCAATAACCTTGATAGAGGATTTAAGGCCCCGGATAGCTTGTGTTCAGCCATTTCAAGGCGTCCGTTGAGGTCTTGCGCAACCTTATGTCCACTGATCCTTAATCCCGTACTTTGCAGCAACTCGGATTTCCTCTCCCAAAGGCTCCATGTACCGTTATAGTAGATACTTAAGCCCCAAAGTAGTCCCTATATGGGTACTTTAAGGCCTAAGTATATACCATATGAGTACATGGACCCTTAGTGTTTGTGAAGTTCGCCCAATCGTCAAAGTCTTTTCTTCTGGCCACTGGCATCACGGATTCTTCTGCAAGGCCTGAAAAACCAAAGCACTGACGCCCTAAAATCCTAAAACCCCGACGCCCAGAAAACCCCAAACTCTCTTAGTTTATCATAAATCCAGAAGAAAGAAGCTGAGACAGCTGGGCGCTTGCCAGGTCAAGGCAAAAGGCATGAGCCTTGTCGTGTAGCCTTCTGCACTGTGTCTGCATGGTAGTTCCATGATTGTTTGTTTGAAAGGTCCCTAAGAACGTAATTGATGGAACCAAGAAGAGGAACTACAATGGAAACTACAGGCAGACATAAAATCGTAAAGACTGGCATTGCACTCCAGGGCCTGAGGTTTGGGGTTGAGGGCTCCGGGCTTCGTGTGAAGTTGCAGCCAAGCGCTCTTTGCAACGAGACTGGCACTTGTCAGATGGGTTTGTTTGTCCTCAGACTGCTGTTTAAAGTTTCGATGCAGTGCTGCCAGGAGATCCTCTTTTGGCTAAGCAGCATGACAAACCCGGCATCACTTGCAGCATCATCTAGTTGAGATACGCTGCTGTTTGTCCGAGCTTTTAATTTGGTGCCCCTCAAGGTTCCGAGTACCCAGCCATCATCGTAGATACTTCGGCCCAGCCCCTTCATTCACTCTCTGAGTGAGATGCCAGGACATACTGGGGAGTTTCCGAAATTGGGGGACCCTAGTATAGTGCCGTAAATAGCAGGATCCTGATTACAAGGAACCCAAAACAAGCTACCCTAATTTCGGAAACTCCCACTGGTGACTATATAAGTACTTGGACCCTTGGGACAGTGCAGCACTCCTCATTGCGGGCGCCTGGCCTCGAGCTGCTTCCTGCTCAAGCTGCATGGTTTTCCCAAATCATAACTACTACGTGAGTTAAGAAAACGACGACAATCGACCATTTGGCATGTACCATACGTCCTTTGTTAAGAATGCTTCGGAAAGCCAGACTTCTGTCTGTTATACAGCTCCTCTTCCCTCCTCTCTACAGTGCTACAGTAGCAGTATGCGGCAGTTTTGCTCAGCTAACCTTGTTTTTCTCACGAGCATTTGAACCCCGAAACCCTCAATCCTGCAGGCTACACCGAAAGGCCCAAAATCTCAACCTAAACCCTATTACGACGGAGACCCGAAACCTAAGCCAACGAAACAGCCGGCCAGTGTTCTAATTAGGCCTGTTGCAGAGGAAACCTTCCACCGAGAGATCGCACTATGTAGCCTTGAACCAAAGTGTGGATCCGCCTTTACGACGATTTAGGGTTTCAGATTAAGGGTATGGACTCTTTAGTTACGAGTTGTTTGACAAACCGTACCATGGTTTGTTGGAACTTACTGAATTGAGTGAGTTTAGAGTCTTTGTGCATGTGTGGGCGTGCCGAAGGCACCGTGCTCGCACCAGGTAACGCAAATCTTGGTGCCTCCCAGCAAATACAAGTTCATGAAATTAGAGCCTCAGGCTTTTGGGTTCAGGATTGAGAACGGAACGTGATGCTGGCTCGCGCTAGTTCCTGCAACTAGCTACTGCAGTCGGAGGCACCCCATGATCGTGCAGTGTAGGAAAAGCAAGTGGAGGCGATTTCAAGAGTGAGCCCATCTCATCAGTGGAATAGTGATCACCAACAGTCTGTATGACGACTGCTGCTACCAGCATTTCACCACGCAAATTCGTTATTTCAACCAACCCCCAAACCCTAAACCCTAATCCGAAGCCCTAAGCCCTAAGCCCTAAACCCTATTCCCCAAACCATAAACCCTAATCCGAAGCCCTAAACCCTAAGCCCTAAGCCCTAAACCCTATTCCCCAAACCATAAACCCTGAACTCCTAAACCCCAAACCCGAGCCCCTCTGAACCGCGAGGCCGCAGCTCCCCCACTAATCGCTAAGCCGATCTAGTCATACACTCCTTCAGCGGATATGGGAGTGTCTGTAAATAGGGGACCCTACTATAGTTCCCTAAATAGTAGGATCCTTATTATAAAGTAAAAGCCAGAAAGTTGGAATATGATTATCCTAACCCTTCTATGGTAAATTATAGGGTATCCTACCATGAAACCATATTCCAACTTTCTGGAGTTCCCTGTAAGGGCCCAAAGATAAGGGATCCCTAATTCTCGAACATTTTCGTATCTACTCCTTCAGCAGATATGGGAGTTTCCGGAAAATAGGGGACCCTAGTTGGAGGTTCATGGGTACCCAGAGGCTCCAAAGTAGTTCCTTTGAGGGGTACCTTCTAGGATTCTAAATATGAACCCTAAAAAGGAACTACTATGGAGCCTTAGGGTAGTTATTATAAGTAGGGTTATAAGGTCCCTAATATGGGTTGTAACTATAGTTAGCCTACATATAACCCCACTTGTAATTACCCATGAACCTCTAAGTAATATAGTACCCTAAATACTAGGATGCTTGTTATAAGGACCCCAAAATAAGGTAGCCCTAATTTTCGGAAACTCCCGTCTGTTCTGGCGGCATCCAGGGCTTCCACCTGAATCCTCAGAAATGGGTTGATGTTTGCAAAACGCTCGACACTAAACCCGTAGCACATCTAGATGCATAAACCCTTACCCCTAAACCCTTCCTAAACCCTAAACCCTCCCTAAACCCTAAACCCCTAAACCCTGAACCCCTAAGCCCTACACCCTCCCTAAACCCTTCCTAAACCCTAAACCCTGAACTCTCCCTAAACTCCATGGCAATCCTCCATGAAACTGGAGGTCTGAAGATCCTTTTATGTGTGTCGGGGAATCTCCATTTTAAGGGACCCTGTCATGGGCCCCTCTAACAAGCGGTTCTTGAGTAGTACCCTTTTGCCCTGTTTAGTTCGGGTTCTTTTTTAAATTTATTGAAACTTAAAGCGGAACACATTCGGAACAAAAGTGCACCCTTATCATTAAGTGGTTACTGAGGAACCTAGCCATATCAGGTTTGACTTTACGGGCGGGGGGGGGGGGGGGTTTACAGGCTCACTGCTTCCTCCACGCATCCGACGGTTCAGAAGTAGCCCGCTGCTTCGCAAAATGGAGTGCGGGGTTTAGGGGTTTCGGGATTCGGTTTCGGGTTTTCTGTTATAAGTGCTTCCAGTGTGGGCAGCTACACCAGTATTTGCACTTACCTCGATGCGCTCCCCAATCCCGATTTCCAACAACCTCCGTAAATCGCAGCTACGTGGCCAGAGAAGCGCAAGAAAAGACACATCGCCGGCATCATGGACTCCGCGGGTATGCTGCAATTCCAGGAGCTGGAGCAGGAGATCAGGAGGTGCCCTGGCAGAACGAATATCGACATGTACGTATGTACATACATGTCAAATACAGGCAAATCAGCGCATACATGTACCCAACGAGGGCCCTTGGGTGCGCGAGGTGAATATGTATGTATGTATGTATGTATATATATATATATATATATATGTATATATATATATATACACATATACATATACATATGTAGAGAGAGAGAGAGAGAGTGAGTGAGAGTCTCTGTGTGTGTAAATGTAGGTATACAGATATAGTTGTAATGTTATATACAAACCTATACATTGGCATACATGATGTACATAAAAGACAGGTGTATGTACATATCTATATATATATATATAGAGAGAGAGAGAGACAAAGAGAAGGAGACAGAGAGAGAGAGAGAGAGAGACAGCACGAACGAAAAAGATAAAGATAACGAGAAAGAGAGACAGAGAGAGAGAGAGAGAGAGAGAGAGAGAGAGAGAGAGAGAGAGAGAGAGAGAGAGAGAGAGAGAGAGAGAGAGAGAGAGAGAGAGCGAGAGAGAGAGAGAGAGAGAGAGAGAAAGAGCGAGAGAGAGAGAGAGAGAGAACGATCGTGCGATCCCGCTTGTAACTCTACCGGAATAGACCCCATTCCTACACAGATAAGTTGGGAGTCTTTTGTCGCGATAACGTGTCGCTAAAATCATGCTATGCGCAGCGCTTCGGATGAGCCGTTTTCCTACCCAGTAATTGCGGATGCCTTAAATTCTGCCGGTCGGTATACTTTATCGAAACAACAATCATGACGGAAGCCCATAGCACCCCTACTTAGTGGGTATTGGGCTCACTGGGAACTCCACGTCGCCGGCTAGGTGCTGTCAGAACTGTGGGGTTTGAGTTCAAAGGCGCAAAGGCGTCACACATCCTACAGCTTTGACTTCTTCCAAGACGCACGAACCCTAAGGGTCCATGTACTCATATAGTATATACATTGGCCTTAATGTAGTCCCTATATAGGTACATTGGGGCCCATGTATCTCTATATGGGGACATGGACCCTTAGGGGAGATGGACAGTAGATTATTCAGCCCACAGGCCTACATGCGAGAACTCCCGCATGAACCGAAGCCCGAAGCCGAAAGCTAGCCCCTGCCACAAAAAACGCGAACACATGCCCGTGACGACGGTCGTAATGATCGTCATCATTCGCCACCACCGTCTTTGCCATCATAATCATGGTCATCACCATCATCACAGAGTATGTTTCATCATCAACTTCGTCCCACCAACATTCAACGCTTTCACATTTTTTAATACCATAAGCCCGAAACCCCAACCAGCCGTAAAGCAAGGTGGGACAACGACCATCGCTTCGGTAGAGAGCACAATGCGCCTTGGCGAATCCGCTCTACCCAGACGCCCCATAGTAGTTCCTTTTTGGGGTTCATATATAGAGTCCTGTAAGGTAATCCCAAAAAAGAACTACTGTGGGGCCTCTGGGTACTTGTTGGCGCTGTTTGCGGTGTAGGGTTTAGGTTGTTCTTGGGCTCTCTGAGGCTCCACATAGCTGTCTTGTCTACACTTCGGGCTTAAAGGTTTTAAAAAATGGGCACTTTAAGGCTTAACTATATACTAAGAAAATAGGTAGACTGACCCTTAGAAGTTCCAGTTCCAGTCCGAACCTTCACTTCGTAAAGCCGTCAATCATACGGTGTACCTGCAGCCGAAAAGACCTACCTTTTTAGGGTTCCTTCTTATGGTTTCTGTATACAGTAATACACTTCCTGAAAAATGCAGGTCTTTTGGGCCACAGGTAAGGCTTCGATATTTGGATTGTCATGTGTAGCGGCCTCATGTGAAGGCTGAGGTTCCAAAGCGTGGGGAATTCTGGAACTTGCAAGCTCTTGTATAGAGTTCCTCGTCAAGCAGTCCACCGAGAACTCTATTCTGAAGAGCCAC